AAATTAACAAATAAAAGAAGAAAAAAAGATAATGCCAAAAAAAAAAAAAAATAAACCAAATAAAAACTTTCAAATAAATTAAAAGAGTTCTATTGTTTTAAATTTATTTTTATATTTAAAAATATCACAATTCAAAACAAACAAACAAAAAAACTGTTTTTACTCAAGATCAAGTGTCAAATTTTAGAGATTGTTGCAATTTGCTAAAGCAGAACTTATGATAGATGCAACTTCGTCACCAATTTTATTCTATCTTTTTAAATATTGAAGAAAAAATATATTAGTAATTAGTTAGTTAAAACGAAAAAACGAAGAAAAAATATAAAATTATAAAAAATAAATAATCAATATTAATAATGAAAAGTGTAAAATAACTAAAAAAATATTTGCAAAAATAAAAATGAATCAATCAATCAATATAAATGAAAATTTCTTAATAAAATAAAATTAAAAATACATTTAAAGTTAAATATAAAAAACAAAAACAATAGTAATATTTTTTTATTAATATATTTATTTACTTCAGAGTAATATGTAGAACCTAATGAGATTAGAGTGATGAGTTTAAAAACTTTTTTTTTTTAAATAAAAATAAATTTAAAGAATATTCATCAAAAAATAAATAATTACTTCTTCTAATTGGTTGTAATGATTAATCTATTAATCCATTTATTTTTTTTTCTTCTCAAAAATATTGAATAACAATTAATTGAAATTTAATAAAATATAAGTGGATTGAAAGAATAAATAAGTTATTATAATTATGAAATATTCATTTATAATTTTTCTTTTTGGAAGACATAACAAAAAAAAAAATTAAGTTAATGTGACATTCATTATTTAAACTTAATATTTGCTTTAAAAAGTGTACTTAAAAATATACCAGGAAAAAGAGATTGGTAATAATTCAGTTATAGGTTGTAAAATTCTAAAAAGTTATTACTGTTTTTAAATTTTATTAAAATAATTTTTATTTAGTAGATTTTTCTATTTAAGTCAAGTAATGAGGGGAATATTTATGATATCTCTAATTATTCTCTAATCCCATTAGTTTTTTTTGCAAACGAATGTTATTTATAAGTTCTTTATCTCAAATGAATTCATTTATACCTATTTAAGTAAATTATTAATAAAAAAAATTATTCAAGATACATTTTTTAAAAATTAGTAAACTCTTTATCTATTATACATCTATTAGGGTATTTATGTACTTATTAGCATACAAAATTTAATAATAAATTAATAAAAGAATTTATTTATTTCCCAAAGAAACGAGAAAGATGACTATGGAGTTGAGTTTGGAGCCTAGATTAGTTATTGTCATACTTTGCATCATATTTTTTAAAAAATATAGCAAATATTAATTATAATATCTTAAATACACTATAATATACCTACTGCAAATAGCCTCAATAATTAAAATCAACCCCTCCCCCTTCATAAATTTTTTATTATTTTGATTTGTATTAATTGTATGCAGCCTTGAAAAACTAGGCAGTAACATAGGGTAATTAATATACATATATAATAATTAATAATAAAATCAAAAGTTAAAAATGGAAAAATTAATTAGTTAAATTAAAAAATTTAAAAGAAAAAAAATACTAGCATAATAAAAAAGAAAAAGAAAAATAAAAGCTATCAAATAAATTAAAAGAGTAAATTACGTTGTTTTAAATTCATTGAAATATTAAAAAAATATTATTATCCAAAACAAATAAACTGTTTTTACATAACATTAAGTTTCAAACAAATTTGAGAGATTAATGCAATAATAAAAATGAATAATTAAAATTTAAATTGAAAATGAAAATTATGCTAAAATCTATTAAAAAATAAATAAATTGAAAGTTAAAAATAAAAAAAATTAATATATATTAATAATATTTATTTATAAATTAAATATACCTCAAATCAATATAGAGAACCTAATGAGATTCGAATGAAGAGTTTAAAAATTTTTTTAATTAATAAATATAAATTTAAAGCTTATTCATCTATAAATAAATAATTACTTCTTCTAATTAGTAGCCTTTTTTAATCTATTAAATCATTTTTTTTTTTTCAAAACTATTAAATAGAAATTAATCAAAATCTAATTCAACAAAAGTGGATAAAAAAAATTAATAAATTATTATAACTATGAAATATTAATTTATAAATTTGCTTTTAGTAAGATATACAAAAGAATTATTTAGTTAGAGTAACATTATTTAAATAATCTTAATATTTCTTATTAAAAAATTTGTTTAAAAATGTAGTAATAATTAGAGAAAGTTAGTCAGTATTTTTAAAAAATTATATATAGTAATTATTATTATTAAATTTTATAAAAATAATTTTTTACTCTTAGTTTCTTGCTATTTTTTTCTTTAAAATGTTTTTTTTAAACTTCTCTCTATTTTTTAATTTTTTTTTAGATAAGGCGTATTTCTTTTTGCCTTCTTTTTATTAAAAATCTGGATTTTCTTTAATGTGAATACATTTATCTGATATATATGTTAATATTCTAATCATTTGATTATAAAAATAAAGTATAATTTGGATATAATTTAATTAAAATAAAATCTATTATGTTAATAAGTTTTTATATTTCATTTAAAGTATGCTCTTAAATTATCAGGTAAAAACAATTAAGTAATTAATTTTCTCCTAACAAACTATTGTCACAGCAGTAATAAATCTGAATTAAACTTTAAAGTATTTAATCAATATCAGTCAGTCTAGAGTTTTTTTAACTCCTTTTATGAACCAAATACATAAGCATAATCAAGCAAGGTAAGTAACCAAATCTATGATATAATTTTTCTTTATTTCATATGTTTTAATTTTATCTTCTTAATTAATCTCCATTATCAATTATTTTAACATTACGTAAATCATCAGATTATGTGTTTAATAAATTTTATCAAAATTGACAAAAAAATAAATTTAATATTTAAGTTTAATATATGATTATTTGAGATATTTTTTATTATCTTAATTTAATTATCTAAAAACTCTTAAGGGGGGTACGAAAAAAAAGTTTTTTTTTAGGTAGCATAGCAAGGTCAATTTTAAATAAAAATTATTTGAAATATCACAAATCATATATGATATCATGATCCCTCCCTGATATTTCAAATGCAGGAACAGCTATATTAAAATTTTTTACATATTTATTTGCCTTTCTTTCACAATTTAATCCAGTGATACATTCAAGATTTACTAATTTGAAAATTAATTGATATAATTTATTACAGACAGACTGATCAGACAGAGTTTTACAATCATTAAAAGATATCAAATTTTTGATATAATTATTTGTTCTTTCACAATTTCATCCAATAAGTCAGGAAGAAAATTTTACTAATTAGAAAATTAATTAATTAATGTAATTTATTACATACCCTGATCAGTGTCTGATAACATATTAGAGACATCAAATTTATTGAGATACTATTAAAAAATATCAATTTTTATTTAATTTATAAAGATGAGAAAAAGCACTTTTAAACTTTTTAATAATTAATTATTAGCAAAAGATTTAAAATCAAATTTAGAAAAAGAAAAAATGTAGCAAGATAGAGAGTATTTTAATAATGTAGATTTTGTAACTTTTTTCTTCATTTTATTTTCATCTTATTCATATTATTTTTTTATTAAAATGAAAGTTTTTATAATCTAATCTACCATAACTCTGTCATCTGTAACTTAATTTTACGTAAACTTTCTGATATTTATATTAAATAGCATTGCAACCTACTTTTGAAATCATTTTTGAAAAAAGCTAATAAATCCAAAAATGTTTGTTTTAAATTTGCTTTTTTTAAATAATATTTTTTTTATTAAAATTTATTTTTTTATACTTTTTACATTAATTTATTTCTTTGAATTTTAATAACCTTACTAATTAATTCTTTTTAACATTACAAATAGATCTAAATCATATTTACTTACTCAAATGGCATAATAAATTGGTTCTGCTTTATCAAAATGTTAAAATCTCCTAACTTTCAAATTTGAGTTATGGTAAACATATTTATTTTTCTTATATTATCAAAATACTTGAAAAACAAACTATAAAATAAGTAAAAAATCAAAAATTTATTTTTTTTAAGTATATTTAATTATGAATGAATGAGTGTGTAAATAAATAAATACATTTTTCATACAATCATTTAATATTAAATTTTAAAATTTTATTTTATATTTATTATTATTATTATTTTCTTCTAAATCTTTAAGAATTAAATTTACTTCCAAAAATATAAAAGTGTTAATAATATGGAATCTGAAACAGCATTAGAGTTAATTCGTCCTTTATCTTATTGTACTAAAATCTAAAGTTTGACAATTGACCTCAGGTAGATAGAAATTTACTATATTTGTTAATCTTATTTGAGATAAAAAAATATTTAGATATTTCCTTTACTTTTTATTTAATAAACTCTATAAAATTATTGCTTAGGATTCACTAATTTTTTATTCATTAATTTGTATATTTATTTAGAGTTTTTATTTTTTAACTAGAGAAAATTAATTAATTAATTTTTCATTTTTTAATATGCTCGTCTTTTAGATAATAAGAAAAAATTTATATCTTAAATTATAAAATAATTAATTAGAAGTAATCATATCTCTCCAGATAGAGGTTAAGATCTATATAAAGCTTTAGGAAATGTTTTAGCAAGATGCATGAATCTTTCAACTTTTTCACTAGATTTAAGGTAAAAATAGTTGGTTTGCTTGCTTTTTTCATATTCCATATTTTGTATTTTAAGAAACACATAATTTATGTTGATTATTCAGTTATTTATTTATTAAGATATTAAACTAACTTTTTTTTATATCCTTTAATTATAAAAAGTAATAATTATATATAAAAATCTGGTGCAAAACAATTAGCTCTTGTGTTGTAAAAAGGCAAAAATCTCTCAACTTTAAGGTTAAAACTTAAGTAAAAATAATTTATATTTTCTAATTTTATTAAAGCGAATATAAACTATTTAATCAGATTTATTCTTTGATTATTTTTTTACCATCATTTAAAAGCTAATCTATTTTTACTTAAAATTTCTTTTAGTTTTCAACTTTTAATTTTTCATCTTAAAACTTTTTCATTAATTTTTTTTCTATTTCCTTCTTTCATTTAAATAAATAAAATCTATTTAAAAATTTAAAAGATCAATCAAATTTGATGAAGATGGTTTATATAAAGCATCTGAGTTATCATAAGCTTTAGAAAAATGCACAAACCTTTCTACTTTAGAGTTAGACTTTAGGTAAACATAATTAATTAATTAATTAGTTTACTTTTATTTATTTTTCTCTAAATTAAAAAAATACAAAACTATAATGAAAGAATGAATATATGCAATACATTTATTTATTTATTGAACATATGCAATACATTTATTTATTTATTTCAGATTCTAGAATTTTTTATATCTCAAAATTATTGATAAACTTTGCATTTGAATTATTTTCTAGTTTAATATTTTTCTTTTCTTTTTATTTACAGTTTTTTTCAAAAAATAATAAGTATGAATATGTTACACCAACAAATTGCAATTGACTTAGGTTCTGCTTTATCAAAATGGAAAAATCTGAGGATTTTGATTCTCAACTTAAGGTATTTATTTATTTGCTTTTGTTTGATTGATGCATTCATTATTAATCGCAATAAAAAAAATGAAATTCTCTTATTTTCTGTTTTTACTAAAATTCTCAAGTTTGTATATAAATTTTTTATTTATTTACGTGTTTAATATATATTTTTCATGAACTTTTTCTTTTTGTGAAATAAATTAACGTATTTATTAAAAAAATATAAAAGTAATAATGTAATATTCGACTAAGGTGCACAAAAATTATGTTCTGAAATATTAAAATGCAGTAAACTAGCAAAATTGGATCTAAACTTAAAGTAAAAAGATTATTTTTTATTATTATTTTTATTTGTTTAGAAAAAGATAGATGTAATAAATCATGTAAACTTTTTCAAGATAATTTTGTTTATTTATTTTTTTCTCAATAAATTAAGTTTTGTTTTATGTTATTTATATACTTTTTATTTATATATTTTAAATTTTAGTTAATTTATCTTTCATAAAAATTAAAAATTAATTAATAAATTATACAACAAATAAATTAATTAATTAATAAAAGTTTCAATAGATTGTTACCATCTACAAGATAAGAATTGAAGGGCAATATTATTAAGATGAAGAGACTGATATGCAAAAATATAAATATTTGAAGAACATACACAATCAATGAATCAATAAATATTTATAATTGTCATTAATTACTAATTAGCAAACAAACATAAAATTAAATTTATATTTTCAAAATTTACTTACAACTTAAAATAAATATGTTTGTTTTATTCTCAATTTCATAAAACATAATTCATTCCTTTTAAATTTACAAATTTAATTTATGAGTGAAAAAAAGATGTAAAGAATTTTAAGTAAATATATATTAATAATTTATTAAGTTCGAATTAGACAGACAGAAAAACTAGGTATTTATTTTTGTTATTTTCATAAATTTTTTAGACAACAAACCATATAGTACTCCTGGAGTTTGGGGGGGGGGGGGGTTGGTGAGAATTAATGAGGATTTACGGTAATTAATTATATTTTTGTCAAAATCTAAAATTTGAAAAGCAATTTGTATTAGAAGAAAATTAATTTTGGGTTTCCAAATTTATTCCTTGTTAATAAATAGTTGAAGTTATTTTGATTATAAAATCAATGAATTAAGCCAAGAAGGAGATTTTCTAATAAATTATCTGCCCCCATATCTAAATATTTATCAGCTAATTATTCCATACCTTATTTTTTATAAAGTCTTGATAGCAGTTCATAAAAAGAAACATTTTATGGTATCAATAAAGTTGCTTTAACTAGAATCTAACCAGCTTCTAAATATCTTTCATTATCAATGAGTATTAAAGCTAAATTGTAATAAGCAGAATCTAGATGTGGATCAATTTTCAATACATCATTTAGTACCTTCACGGATTCATCTATTTTTTTAAGACGAACTAAAGCCTGAGCCATTTTTATATAGGCACCAACTTTATTTTTATCTAAATCTATAATTTTTTAATAAGTTTGTATTGAATCTTCAAATTTCTCAAATTTAAATTGGCATTATGCTAAACTGAAGTTGAACTAAATATTTTCTGGTTTGTACTCAACCGCTTTTTACAAGTCTTGATAAGCTTCTTCATATTTATCAATATTTAAATAGCAAATGCCTCTTAAATGGTAAGCAGCAGCCGATACAGGAAACAAAACAAGTAAATTATTTAATGTATTAATTGCATTATCGTATTCTTTTAGACTTAAAAAAAAATTTGCAATTGAAATAAAGAGAAGATTCCAAGCATAGAATGCTGCTTCTATTTTAATCTTGCATCTATCTATAAGATCTTTATTTTCCATTTTCTCTACTACTGATCTCATTCTTGATAAAATGCTTATACTTAATGGGTATTTTATGAGAGTGTCATTTAGTGTATCATAAGCTTCTTGCAATTAATTATTTTCTATCATTTAATCCCAGCTTATTGATATTTCGTCAATTTCTTTTAATCTATAATCATAACCAGAATCCAAGAATATTTTTACAGCATCTTCTTCTTGATCCAAAGCAATCAATAAAAAGCATTTCAATAAAATAAATTACAAGCTATTAGGATCTTAATTAAGTTTTTATTCAACATCATCAAGCTTTGATAAGAGTTTTTATTCATTTGATTCACTTAATTGAAGCACAGTATCTTCAAATTCCATATTATATCTTCTTCTACTTACTTACTTACTTACTTTTTAATTTATCAATTAACTAATTAAAATTTTGATTATTTGTTAATCAATATCAAAAATAAAAATTAATCAAATTTTGTATCAAAAGAAAATGCGGTAAAAAACAAACAAACAAGCAAAAATTCATTGATTCAAAATAATAGCATCTATTAGTTAGATAATAAATAATAAGTAATCAATATTATATATTTCAGATATTCACTTCAAACTCAAACAAATTATTTTTAATCAACTAATGAGATTAAAATTTGCCCTTTAATCAATCTAAATAATAGTTCAAACAAAGTATATTTATAAATTAAATATTCTAAGAAAACTATTTTCAAATTGATTAAATTAAGATATATTAAAATATATCAAATATATATTCTATCTATTAAGATAAATTATATTTTTTAAAATCAATAAGAATTTAATACCTTGAATGCATGGCATGTATCTTTTTAAATTGAATTTAATTTTTATATATGACAAAATATTAAAGATTGAAGTAATAGATAAATAAATAAATATTTTTGTAAATATATTTCAACTTATCTAATTGATAATTCAATAAATAACAAATGGCTTAAAATAAATGATAAGATAAAATATTTTAAAAAGAATTATTTTAAACAGAATTAATTAATTAATAAGTGTTTTTTATTTGAGACAAATAAAAATAAGTATATTCATTCACTCATATTGTCTTTTCACAATTGTTAAAAATATTGGATATTAATTTTATTTAGAAAAATAAAAAAATAATATTCTGCAATAAAAAAGTAAAATTAATTATTATTTATAAGAAATATTAATAAATTTCAATTTTATAAAAATTAAAATCTTAGTTAGGTATATCTATGGTTACAAATAAAATAAATACACAAATGATAGATAAATGTGTTAACAGATAGATAGATAAATAGATAGATAGATGTATATTGTGTAAATGAGATTCTTTAGAAAAAATATGTATTTTTTAAAATATTTTTTAATTGAATATTTTTTTTGCTAATAATTTAAAAATCTTCATTAAAAGATAGATTTGTTTATTTGTTTTTTTGTTTGTTTTTTTGAGTTGAATTGTAATGATTTAATAGAATAATGAATGAAAGAATATTTGCATTAATCAATTTGCCTATACTTCTTATTGTTATTGTAGATTATTGAAGTTATCATCAACCAGATCAATGTTTAATCCAATTTAGTTGCTTATGAGTTCACAATCTTCTTTCATTTTTTGGTGGACTCCTTTTAACTTAGTTTCCATCTTTTAAAGGAATTCTCCTAAATCTTTGACTTGTTTTTGTCTCTTCAAAGACTCCTCTTCTACAGCAGATTTTCCTATTGTATCTAGTTCTCCGAGTTTACTTTAGACAGCTCTTCTTTCTTCTAGCAAAATCTCCTTTTGCTTGACCAACTCTTATTGCTATTCGTTTATTTTATTCTACAAATCTTACAAGTATTTTTGTTTTTGGGAGAAATTAGATTCCTTAGTTTTGAAGTCCTCCTTGCTTTTGTTTAACGCTGCTTCTTAAATAACCAATTACTTCTTTTAAGATGTAATGCTTGTCAGCTAGTTGTTCATTTCCTCTTTTTCTTTTACTATTTCTGATTCTTTCTACAACAATTAATTCTCTTTTTCTTATAATTGTACTTATTTTTGCACAAGAGATTCTTAGCCACTCAGAATTTAATTACTCTTTTTCTTTAGCTCTGCTTCTTGTTATTTTAATTTATTTTGTGTTTCTGAGATTTCTTCTTATTTTTCAAGAAGCTGCAATTGTTACTCTTTCAATTAGCTCTCTAATTGCTGTAATTTTTCTTCTTGTGTTTTCAACTCCTCACTTTTAACAACAAGGTCTTACTTTTATTTTTCAAGCTGCTAACTTTTAGCAGATAGCTGTTTTTCTCTATCTATTAAAATTTTTTCCTTTTCGTTAAAGAAATCTTGACTGCTAATAGACTCTTAAAATTTCTAAAGCAACTAGTCCTTATTTTATATTTCCTCCTGCAGATTAGTTATCTTTTCTTGTAATTCTGCCTTCTCATTTTGTAAAACTTAAATTTATTTTTCCAAGCTTTTAAACTACTTTTAGAATTCTACATTTTTAATTTTTGTTTGATTTAATTCTTCTTCTTTTTCCCTTATAATGTGTACTTTTTATTCTATGCTAGCCTATTTCTAACCTAATTGCATTTCAAACAGTTACTCTGAATTCTTTTCCTAAGTATTAGCTTGGGTGATTAATCTTTCAACTTATTGCTGAGCTTTCTGAAGTTTTTAAGCTAAATCAGCGATTTTCTAATCCTTTTCAATGAAATCTTATTTGAATTTATCGAGTGTAATTTTGCAATTATTCTCATAAGATGTGAAATGTTTATCTTTTCCTTCTAGTTCTTCTTGCAATTCTTCAATTTTCTTCATCTATGCTTATATTTTTTAATCCCTCTCTCTAATAAAATTGTCTTTTTATTATGCATCTCTTTGAACTACCATTAGCATCTAGCATTGTTTTTCAAGTCCTTACTATTATTCTATTTTTTTAGTAAAAGTTTCAAGCTTTTACTCCATTTCTTTAATTTAGCTGTCTTTTTGCTAAAGATCTTTTTATGCTTGCATCAACTATTAAGAAATTTGTTAACCTTTTTATCTCATTTAGTTCATAATTGATTGCTACTATTATATCTATTGCTATTATTAAGATACTTGCAAGACAAGAGGATCTGCTTTCGAAGTAGAGCTGCTTCTAGTGGGAGAGTGTCCATTAGGAGAAGGTGGAATGGCTGTCATACTATTCTACTTCGAATCATTAGGAGAAGAAGGCAGTCTAGGAGTAGATATCGAGCTATTATTTGGTGATGTTTGAATACTTAAATTATTTTTGGGTAGCTGAAGTGTCTAAGAACTTCCGACTCTGCTAGACTCTTGCCCATTCGATAATGGAACTTACAAAACCTAAGATTGAGGAGAAGAAGAAAACTACGATTATGACTAAAATGTCTGTGTTTATGGTGTCTATTGCTATTACTATTATAATTTTTGTTACATCATTTTGCATTGATTTGTTAGATTGGTACATTGACTGGTCAAATTATTTACTTTCATTCTTTCTTGATTTATAATTTCAACATATTTTTTCTCATTTTCGCTAAATGTTTTTTTCATTTAATCTAACTCACTTTGCAAACTCTTTACTTTCATTTGCTCTTGTTTAAGATTTTCAAGTGCTTCCTGTAATTTTTTATTCAATGCCATCAATTCATCCTCACGAGACTTGTTCATCTTCATTGCTTACATGTTATTTTCAAATACCTCAATCTTCAAATTTTTATTATCATTTTCAAGTTCTTTTAATTTTTTTTCAAATTAGCTCTTTAATTGGTTAAATTGTTATTCATCAAATTAAGTTTTCTTAGGTTCCTTTTTTAAATTTTCAAGTTCTCTTTTTAAGTTCTCATATTCCTTTCTAGTGACATCCTATTCAGCCTTAAGAGTATCGAATTCCTGAATTTTCTTTTACAAATCATCGTAAACAGCCTTGGAATATTAATTCATAGTTTCTAAGTCCCCTTTTAATTCATCTATCGTCTTTGATTAATCTTTATTAGATTGTTTTTTTTACAAATTATGTTCACTATTTAAAAGTAAAAATTATTTTAATTTCTTTTTTAATAAAATTCATTTTATTTAATTTCATAAATGCAATAATTCAAATATTCAATTAAATTGTTTAAATATCCGTTTTTAATTAATATTTGTTTCAAATAAAATAAATTGTGAAAACTTAGTTTAAATTTGAAATAATTGTATCACTTTTCCTGATAACATTTTAAATATCTTTCATTCATTTAAATAAAATAATTTTTACCATTTTTTATTATTTTATTTTTTTAATGTAATTTATTTGATTTATTTATAGAAAGATAAAAAAAATCAGCCTTTAATCAAATTAAAAATTTAATTTACTTTCCTGAAAATTTAACTTTATTATAGTGAAAATTTGTAAGTAATATTAGATAAGAGAGAGAGAGAAAAAATTATGTCACTGATTAATTTTTCTTCCTTTGCTCGAAATTTATTTATTTTTTTATTTTTTGATTATGCTTGATCGAAATTATTAATTTTTGATAGTAATCAGAGTGATTAAGCAGGCTAAATTTGTAGACTATAAATTTTTTATTAATTATTGTATTAATGTTATCTAAAAATTTGAGATCAATTAATCAATCAATCAATCAATCTTTATTTTTTGTTTGTTTGTTTTTATTTTTAAATAAAAATTTAAAACCTGATCAGTTGTTATTTAGTTGCTTGCTTTCATAAAAATATTTAATTTATTATTGGAATCTATCTAAATATCTATCTAACTAACCAACTATCTAAATATCTGTCTATATGTTTAAAGAAATTCTAAAATTGCATAGGCAATAAATTTTCATTTAAGAAATAAATATAATTATTTTTTACTTTTTGTCAATCAAGTCTAAATGGTATTGGTGAGTAATGTTTTTGAAATTCTTTGCAATGATTTAATCTAAATCACTAATTTTTGTGGTCCATCTCAAGATAACTTCATTCAACTAGTCGGTATTTGAGCCAACCTATCTCATGTTGACAATATGCTTAAAAGAAACAGCTTTGATATATTTCTCCAATTCCTTAAACTATTTTAATTTTGATAGAATTTTTATTAAAGCAATAAAAAGGTAAATTTTTTCATTAATATTCTTGAATTATTTAATATTTTATTTTATATTTTAGAATTCAATCAAGTTAAAGAAATTTCGCGCTTTTATATAAATGATTGAGGTATAACTTTATAAAAAATTATCAATTAAAATGAATGAAAGTTGTTATTGTCAATGAAAATTTTTACATCTCTCTTCATGATGATATTGTCTATCATGGCAAAGCATACTTAGAATTGCAGATAATTGATGAAAAAGCTCTAATAGTAAAGGAAATAACTACCGGAGAGAAATTATTTGACTAGCAAGATGTTTTCTTCTCCGAACCCCTTTTGGTCAACTATGTCATCGATAATATATTGTAGATACTTTTCAACTGTCTCCATTTTGTTTTTTTTTGCCTCTTTTGGGTAGAGAGGAGGAGGTATTACGTAGTATATTATGTTCGTGAAAATAAAATATGCTTCCTGTTGTGTGCAGAAACACATCAGAAAAGTTAGAATTTTTAAATATTCTCTTGTGTAGCCTACTTCTGGGAACTATTTTTACAGTTAAAGGTTACAAAATTCTAAAAAATACTTTTTTAATTAAATTTGATTACTTTGAAGAGGAAACGAACCATGATGTTGTAGATTTCTTAAGAAATTATTTCATTTGACATATCTCCTTAAAGACAGAATAACACTTCGCAAAAAGAATAGTTGTATTTAATTGCACATGCATGGAAATCCTTTAAATCTTTCTTGACCTACGCTAATTCTGGTGTTTTCAATTCAAATTCGTTCCAATTCTTTTTAATTTAATCCGCCAAAACCTGATATTCTTGGTTGAGCTCTTTTTTCTATCTAAATTTTTAAAAATCAGTAAATAAATTCAGTAACTAAGTATATTTTTATATAAGAAAAGCTAATTATTTATTTATTTTTCTATAGCCAATTTTATTCATTATTTCCTTTTGTTTGTTTGTATGTTTGTTATTCAAACAAAACATTTTCTTTAAAATCATTTATTCTATTTTGCTTTTATAAAATTTGCTTTAATGATTTCAATGAATTATCTTTGGTTGCCTATTTGACATATTTTTTTTTGTTGCAACACAAAGAAGAACTATAATTAATTACTAGAGAAGTCCAAGTGATTCAAGCCATCTATCGCAAATTTAGGAGGATTGGCCCCATCTCAAGTTGTGCTTTGCATTTATTAAAAAATAAAATATTAATTTTTTCAATCTTAGTTCAAGTTTTGTCAATATTTCTTTGTTTCAAGACCTAAAATGTTTAATTTTGAAATACCTTTTGTATGAAGTATTCTATCTAATTTCTCTCTTCTTTGCACATATTGCAAATTCTATGGTTTTGCTCAGGTTTTTCGAGGCATCCTATAATCTTTATAATACAAATCAGTCAAAATTATTAGTTTACATTTAGAATTATCTTTACCTTCTCTCTCTATGCTCCACAAGAGTGACAAACTGTTCTAAAGCATCTCTTGCAATTGTGCGAGAATTTTAAATTAACTATTTTGAATTGGACAAAACAATTTTCGCAATATTCCTTTTTTAACTTGATTGCCTCATTGTTGAGCACGTGGTCTTTCCTAGTTCTTTTGTACTGATCGCTGTTTTTTAGCATGATTTAACCTTTTAATTTGGATTGCTATTTTAAAGTATTTCTTTGCTTTTATGTTTGTTTGTTTGTGAAAATGTATGTGCAATCTTTCCGTTTTAGCTACTACTTTGTATATTAATTAAGGCTTATTAATTAATTCAATAAATAAATATATGAATAATTCTTTTTTTTTGGAATTATGCAAAAAATTTATAATGATCTATCTATCTTTCTATTTATTATTAATAAAAAGTTTTATCAAAAGTAATTTAAAGAGTGTTTGTTTATTTGCTTAATTAAATAAATAATTATTAAATCGATCGATCGATCAATCGATAGATCAATCAATCAATCATCAACCAAATAAAAAATCTTCTTTAGCTATTTTTTTTCATCAAAGATTTTTTTAATCCATCCTCTATTTGTTTTTGGTGACTAATTTATTGATTGTAAATTCGGCGAGTAATTATTAATTTAAATTTACTTTAATTTTTCTATGAGTCTAATTTGTTAATTCTAATTCAATTCAACTCAATCTTTGGCATTCCTCGCTCACTAGCTCATGAAAATATGTTACAATTGACTAAAGTGCATTTTTTTTGATTAAATTAAAAAAATACCTTTTTGAACAATTAAGAGTGAATTAATTTAAAGATATTTTCAATTTTAGTTTAAAATTTAAGTAGATCCTTTCAAATAAATAAATAAATACTAACAGTATAGCAAAATATTCAAAAACCAGTGAAATAGACATTTTAAATTAATTAAATTATTAAAGTTTTTGATAAACGAAAAAAAAACCATCAAAAACAAGCAACCAATTAAGCAAGAAAGCAAATAAATCAATAACAAATTAAATAATTTATCAGTAAAATGGAATAACATAATTTAATTCAGGAAGGTAACATCAGCAGTAACGTTGCTAGATAATAAAACGCAAATATCAAGCCTCCAATTTTCACAGAATTTTAATTTAAGCTTATTTTTGGTTTACTTGGAACTGCTCTGGTAATAATTAATTTAATGAAAAAATAAATTTATTTTGATAAAAGCTTAAAATAAATAATGTTTATTTTATTAATGTAAACTAAAAAAAGGCAAGTGGAATGACAGTCGGAGTCATTAAGATCATGGGTAGTCTTTTCTTGAATAAAAGTGCTTGAAAGAGTTGGAAGTAGAGTTATATAAAGAATAATAAAAATAGAAATATTTATTCTACTTACAAGTAAAAAATGAATATTAATTTGTTTGTTTGTTTGCAGATTTAATCAATCAAAATATCACAAAAATACTATTATTTCTTTTACCTAATCAATAAATATTTATATCAAGAATTATTTGATCAGTTCTATGTTTTTCTATAACTCTTGTAATGGAATTGGTGATATTTAATAAGTATTTTAAACACTCAAAAACCTATTTATTTTCAAATTATTATCATGCTTTGTAATACTTATTTGTTTAGAGCAAAGATATTCAAAGCATTATTTGTTTATTTGTTTGTTTTTAGTTCTTAATTTCATTCACATATGAATGCATATATTTTATTAATCTTGTAAATTTAATACTTGTAAAAAAAGGAAGGACAGACAGACAGACAATAAAGTCATAGTATTTGTGCTGTTTTCTATCAAATGGAGGAACATAATAAAGAACAAAAAGATAATGTTATACATGCAGCTGAGAAAGAATAGCAAGAATACTGGATTAGCGATTTGCATTACAAGATAATTGTGGGAATTTTTGGATGCGGTCTGGTAAAAATGATTTGTAATTATACAATCAAAATTAAAAATTTTTTTCATTTTCTTAAAAATAAATCTTAGGCTGCTGGGCTAACTGTAGGAACTGTTACCATTTTATACGTAAAATTTTTCATTTAATAAATATTTCAATTGCCTTTAAAGTTATTTATTTCAGTTAAAGTTTCCTTAATAGGAAATTTATTTTATTTACCAAAGCGCTTTGAAAAAGTTATATAATAAGCTTAATATTTCTAAATTCTTTTGGAATAGTTAGTACTTATTTATAAAGCAAATATATTAAATTAGATCAAAATTTTAATATTTAATTCTACATTTATTTCATTTATTAAACTTAGAGTTTGTTCAATCCAGGCTGAAAGAAGGAAATATTTTCATTTATTTAATCTATATAAACTACATGCATGTTCTTTCTATATTTATTTTGTTTCTAAATTTGTAATAAAATAATTTAGACAATTAAAATTAGTTTATTTTTTTAAAATTTAGAAATCAAATCAAATCATAAATAAATAAATATAGTGTGAATAATATTAAGGATAAACAAATTGAAAACACAAACAACAAACAATTTAACATATTAATAAAATATATACATGATACATACCTAAAGTTTTTTTAATATTTATAATTAACAAAAGTTATAAATTTTATTTTTAAAACTTACTCTCAGATTGATTTTTTATTTTAAAATAAATTTATTTATTTATTTTTTTAATTAATTAATTATTAATTTGATTCAGAATTTAAATAAAATTCATTTAAAACTTATGAAATCTGAATATTTGACAAGCTTTGACATGTCTTTATCCTACTAGTTAACATACGATTTTATTTTAATTTTGTCTTCTTAGAGCCTCTTTTTCCTTGTATCGGTAAGTAGGTGGTTGTAGAAGGCAGGATTTCTTATAACAGAATCTAATATGTTATTTTTAACGAAAGTTATGATTTCTTTTGGTCTTGATAAATCTTTGATTTATTAATTTTAGGTTCTATTTGCCTTTAACTACTGAATTGAATCTTCGTAATCGATTATCATTTGCTTTTATAAAAAATCATGTAGTTTCTGATCTCTTATGATTTCTTTTATGTCTTACTCAAAATTATCTTCTTCCTCTTCTCCTTTTGGCAGAAAATCAACAAACTTGTTGATATTTTTATTCACTTCATTATGAGCTTTTTTGAAAATTTTATTATCGATTTTGTTTTGTCTTTTAACCTTTTAGCAGGCATTCAAAATATTGTTTACTTATGTAAGGGCTTGCTTTTATTCAGTGTTTATTTTCTTTTAATTTGTTTCTCCTTCTATATCTTCTATCATTCTTTTTTGCTTTTAGCTTGAAATAGTGTTTCTAAGATAAGATTTTTTGTCATTTTCTGGAGATTTAACGAAGGATTCTTTTGCTGACTTCTCCCAAAATTTTATATTTTTGCTTCTTCTCGCTTTTCTCTGCTTTAAAATTTCTAGTTTCTTTTATTTCTCCTCTAAATCGTTCTCATCATATTCATCATCAGAATTTTCCTTATAAATTTATAAATCCTCTTCTTCAACTTCTTCCTCTTCTTCTGATGAGGAGCAATTAGCAATTTCTTCCAATTTCGTGAAAGTCTTTTTATCATTCTAAAAATCAGGACTGCTATTCATTTTATTTGGAGTAGTTTCTACATAATTATCTTCATCAAAAACTTCAGGAATAGCGTCTTCCATTTCATCTATATTTTAAATCTTTTCTTTGTAGTTAATTTTGCTTGGAGAAAGTCTGTTCTTTAAAAAGAACGCAGGATCATCAAAATTTTCATTTTTTACAAAAGAAGGTGAAGAAAATGACTGCAAATCTTGGTTGCTTTTTTATAATATTTAATTTATTTTCTTCTTAACAGGATTTCTAGAAACATCATTCTACAAACCTTATTCTCTCAGTATATCTTTACTCACTGCTAATCTCTGCCTAATTTCTTTAATTTTTGTAGGTGTTGCTGGCTTCGAAGTTATTAGAAATTAATCAAAATACCTTTGAAGCTAAGACCTCTCTATCTAGCTATTCAATGAGCAGTTCTTTGGTATTTAGTTTAACTAAACTTTTTTGATTATCGAATTTACTTTTTAGCTATCTGGTTGCATAGAAAGAGATTTCCTTTCATGAACAAATTCAATATATTTCCATTCAGCTACCTCCTTTTTCTCTCTTTTTTTTATATTGATGAGATTTGGAACAAAAGTGTCATTCCTAATCTAATCTTAAGCTAAAAATTGATCATTCATTGGGTCATTTACATTTTAATTAATAAAATTATTTTAAACTCTCATATTGCAATTATTGAATTAAAATCCTGAATTATTTGTCTTTTATTCATAAAAGTTTTTATTCATGCTTGTTGAAGGTCGAAAATTAATGTCAGAAGGTTCAGTTATGAATTTGGTAGAATAATCACCTTGCTCTTAAATTTAAAACGATTTATTCTTGTTAGAAGGTGAATTTTGTTAATCAATACCCTAGGTGTTTACACCATAAAAGTTATTAGAAGAAGTATTCACTAATTCATTTCTTAATTTTCTCCCTTCAAGATGGGAATACTTACTTCTTCTAGATTGACTAGTTGTTATATTCCTATTGCAAGATATGTCAGTAGGTTTATTTATAATGAACGAATTTTATGTTTTTTGAAGTAAGCTTTCATTAGCACTCTCCTATGCAGAGTTAGCTCTGTAATATCTGGAATTGTTAAAAGAATTGCTAAAATCCCTAACTTTAATAAAATCTCCTCTAGATTGAATGCGATTGTTAATTTGACTATCGTAGAATTGAACGTTATTAGTTTTATTAGCATTTTTTGTTTAACGAAGAGTGTCCTCAAATGAGCGAGCAGTTGATCTAGCAGAAAGTTAATTAGGAGTGAAGCACTTCCTTCTTGCAGAGTTAAGAGCAGAGTTTGCTGTAGAAACTGTTCCTCTATCATTGAGATTATACTGATGTTTATTGGAATAAGATGGTATGTTTACATATAAATAATGAAATTGATTATTGAGCATTTATTCCTCATTTGATTCAATTGGAATCTTCATATCATCGAAAGAATCCATTTAAAGTTTTTATAAATATTCTTAGTAATCTGTAGCATTAGTTCCTCCTTTAATATCTGCATACTTATTGAAAGCTTGCTCCATGTATTCAGGAAAAACCTAACACATTTGATTGATCCTTGAATTATCAAAATTTAATTTAGGAGGTTCTTTCATCATTTTGAGGAGATCTTTTATTTTCTATGGAGGATTTTGGGTTTATTTATCATTCTTATATTTTGGAGATACTTTTAAACTTGCACTTCTAAATTTCGTATCAGGAGCTGTAAGCAATCGCTCATTAAGCTTCTTCATCTTAAATATTTTCTGTTTGTTTTCATCCATTACATAAATAAAGAAAAAATATGAAATTGAAATATTGAAATGACTTTGTTTATATTTATTTATTTAATTACCTAATCAAATACTAACCAACAAATTAATTTTAAGAAATATTTAATAGATAGGCCACAGCCACTATCAATAACCCTATAAAAGCTCTATTTAATTTATAAAAATATAATTAAAATAAATAAAATCTATTACATTACAAATACTAAGATAAATATATAAAATAATTAACCATAATAATTATGCATAGAATAAATAGTAAAGCTTAAATTTTCATCCATTAAAAGTTATTTATTTTTGATATTTAAAAAATAGCATGGAATTAATTATGATGAAAAAGATCATTGAAATTAATTAGAATAATTAAAAGTGATTGAATTGACACACATATATATTTAACTGCTTAATGGAAATATTATTTGAAGATTATTTAAACTAAAAAATAAGTAAAATAATTTTAAGGTTGAGCTATTAAGTAATTTAAACATAAATTTTAGCAAAATATTAAACAAGTAATTTTAATTAATTTTTCTGATCATTCTCATTCTTTAAAACATTTTTGTAATAAGATAATTTAAAATAAAATGAATTAAATACAAATTTATATTGAATTTGTTTAATTAAATTCAAATTATTAAGTACGTATTGTTGATAAATCTCAAAATAGCTAGCAAAAATTCAATTATAAATGCAAAATATTCAGTCAGAAAAATAAAAATAATCGTAAAAATACTTAATTACTTGTTTTACTTTAAAAATAAATGTTAAATTTTATTAATTTCTAAAATACTATTCAAAGAAGCAAATAAATATTGCTTATATTATCAGTTACTTTTATTTTTGATTATAAAATACTATGATATGTTTTATAAAATTTGAAAATAAGGATTTGATTAATTTAAAAACATATTTTATTTAGTATTTATTTAAATAATAAAACAAAAAAAATATTTAAGTTCTACTGTGCAATTATTACTTTTTATCTCTGACAAATATTTCTGTATTTTTTTTTCGAATATCTTTTTTTTTTGAATTGGTTGATAAATTAATGTTTAGAATTTTCTAGTTTTAGATATTTTTGAGTTAGAAGATTCGGAGAAAAGTACAAATGATGTTTTTGTTGTGCAACAATTTAATACTTTTTAAATAGATAAATAGATTTTTGAAAAATGCTATTTTTTGAAATCTCATTTTCAATATAAAAAAGTATTAATATATTTATTTCATCTAACTTGCATTTCATTTTTGTTAGATTACAGTTTAAATTTTTAAAAGCGTTGAATTATAAGTGTAATTTAAACTTAGTAAGAAAAGTTATTGTTTGCACCAAAAGATATTGAATTATTTGAACTCTCTCTTACAGATAAATTTTATGATTAATTAATTTATTTATTTTCTTCACTTAATAATTGAAAATATCTTTTGATCCTCATTCAAATTATCAACTTCCTCATTTGAACTAAATACTCCAATTTTTTTAGAGCTCAAATGCATACAGTTGAAACTACTGCTTTTAAATTCTAAAATAAAGAAACATAAATTCCAAAATGTAATTTTCAGTTTAAGCTATTCTAAAAGATGCCATTTTTTTATTTATGCCAAAATTCATTTCTTTTTAAATTTAACATTTTTAGATAAATTTGAATTGTTTAGGTCTAAGTAAACAATATGAAATGAACAATTTTGTTTATTATTTCTTAAATAAACTTGGTAAATTAAATTAGCTCAAATAAATAAGATAAAAATATGAAAAAGTTCAAAAATAAATAAATCAATACTAAAATTATTTGGTTGGATGTAAGATAAATTGAATTGAAATGAAAGAGATAATTATGTTCTATTTGCATATTATTGATCAATTAGCAAAGAATACCTCATCAAAGATAAAAAATATAAGGAATTAAACGAATTATTAATTTGGTATGAAATTTAAAATTGTTCGACTAAACGTGGTAAAAAACAAACAATATGAAAGATTTCTTTTATTCTACATGTCTAATAATTAATTGAAATAATAGTGCATATGATTTCTGTTTTATCCCAAACTCTACATACATATTATTTTATTGGTGATAAGAAATAAATAATAATCTAATAACCCTATATAAACAAAAATTCATACCAAGCAAATCTTTTCAAAATAAATTCAAATAAATTATTAAATAAAATAGAAGCAAACACATAAAATAAATAAATAAATAAAATAAAACAAATTTTGTAATTGATATATAAGCATGTATATATTAATACATTCATTAATACAAACACACATTTTTTCATTCATATCTAATCTTATTTTTTATATTATTTATTTATTTCAATTTTAATAATTTTCGCCTTTTGAAAATGCATTGATTAACTCAACAGCTTTAAATAGAATCAAAAAAAAAAGCAAATAATCAAAAATTAAAATAAACAAATAATCTTTAAATTAATTAAAAAAAATATCTAGCAAAACAAACAAATAAATAAATATCTAAAATGTTGGCTAACAGTCTTAAGAACTTCTTCTCTTCTGCTCCCAGAAAGACCACCTAATTGAAGAATTTGATCTAGTCCAAGGACTTGTCTTTCATCATGGAAGCTCACAACGGTTTATCCGCTGCCATCGTTGAAGAAACTGGCTTCAAGGGTATCTGGGGTTCTGGTTTATCTATTTCTGCTGCTATGGGTGTCAGAGATTCCAACGAAGCTTCCTACACTTAGGTAAATTTTACACAGTCCTCTACATTTTTGAAAGATGACAGTCTCTTCTTTTATTATTTCTATGGCTATTTGAAAATTCCAAAAAAAAGTTCATTTTAGAACCATTTAGCATTTTATTTTAGACTGCTTTTTTATAAAATAGTCTAAACTCCTTAAGATACTAATTAGTTAACTAACAAGCTAGTTAAAAAAAACAAACAAAAAATATATGAAAATTATAAAACTATTTGAAAATGTTATTAATTTATTTAATTATTGTATAGGTTTTGGAAGTTTTGGAATTCATGAGTGACAGAACCAAGATTCCCATCCTTTTGGACGGTGACACTGGTTACGGTAACTACAACAACGCTAGAAGATTAGTTAAGAAATTAGAACAAAGAAATATTGGTGGTGTCTGCTTAGAAGATAAGATTTTCCCCAAGAGAAACTCTCTTTTGGAAGGAGGAAGATAAGAATTAGCTCCCATCTAGGAATTCGCCAGCAAGATCAAGGCCTGCAAGGACACTCAATAAGATGCTGACTTCTAGGTATTTATTTATTTATTTACTAAATTTTTATCTCCTCTTAACTATTATCAAAATATCCCCTTATTAATTTTATTTTTACTTCAATTTTATAGGTTGTCGCTAGAGTTGAAGCCTTCATCGCTGGTTGGGGTTTAGAAGAAGCCCTCAAGAGAGCTGAAGCTTACAGAGAAGCTGGTGCTGATGCCATCCTCATGCACTCCAAGCTTAAAGAACCTTCTGAAATTGAAGCCTTCATGAAGGTAAAAAAAACTATTCTAATAATAAAAATCAATAACTCACTCATTAAGTTAATTAGCAAACAAAAAACAAAATTAAATATAACCAGCTATTTTATTAGTAAATAAACAAACAAATCAATAAGCAAAGCAAAGAAAAATTTTTGTGTAAATGAAAGCAAAAAAAAAAAAATAAGATTTTAAAAGAAATAGCAAGCAAATTTATAAATTTGATTTTAACAAATTAATTTATTTTATTCTGTTAAAATAAATTGTTTAGCCCAATCTTATTAACTCTTTTTTATTAATTAGGAATGGAAGAACAGAGCTCCCGTTATTATTGTCCCCACTAACTACTACACCGTCCCCACTGATACCTTCAGAAAATGGGGTGTCAATATGGTCATCTGGGCTAACCACAACATGAGAGCTTGTGTCTCCGCCATGTAAGAAACCTCCAGAAAAATCTACGAAGATGAATCTCTTGTCAACGTTGAAAACAAGGTTGCCAAGGTTAAGGAAGTTTTCAGACTCCAAGGAGAAGATGAACTCAAGCAAGCTGATAAGAAGTATCTCTGAGAATCTAATTTTTCCAATAAACTAACATATACACTTTTTAAAATATGATGGCTTTATGAGTAAAACAATAAACAATAAAACAAAGTGAATTCAGTTTTAGGATTTCTAAATAAAGTTAAGAATATAAATAGTAATTTATTGATTGATTGGTAAAGCATTTGTTGATTAATTAATTAATAGTTAATAGTTCTATTTATCAAAATTCCCACAATTAACTAATTAGTTGATTCATGCTAATAATAATTTATTTAATGCTTAGTTTGCTATCTCTTAAAAATATAAGCATTCACTCATTACTAACTAAATTAATTCGACTTATTAAAATATATTTATATAATGCTGCTTATTTATTATTCATTAATCTATGTGTATTCTAAACTTTACTCTTAAAATAAATTCACTATCATCCATTAATTCATAATTTTTCTCTTTATTTTAATTTATTTATCTAAAATAATATATTTTTATTAATTAATTATATTTATCTATGTAAACAAATATATCCAATCTCACTATAGATTTTTATATTACAAGTATAATTCCTTCCTTATTTCAAAAAAAAGATTGTCTTTTTGAATTCTTTTAAAGACTTTTAGGAATTTAATTTGTAATATTTATCATAAATATTTTATTGAAGTCAAAAAAATAAGGGATAAAAAATTTTATAATATTAAATTTTTTTCATAATTTTAGAAAAAAAATTTTTTTTATTTATCACTCTATCATTAAAGTTCATTTTTACAGCAAGTATTTCAATATAAATTTATTTTTTTTCACAAAAAAGTATAGGTAGTTCGAATTTTTTACAAGTATTACAATCAAACAAAAAGTAAAAAAATTTAAACTTTATTTCTATTTTTTTTCAATAAGTAGTAAATTTTACTAATTGTTTTAATACTTATTGCTTTTAGGAGTATTTTCAGTTTAAAATTTAACATAAGTAGTAAATAAATGTGCTAATAGAGAAATGAAAGAAAGCCAATTTATTTAAAGAAAATATTTTTGAAAGTGGTCTTATTAATAATTATAAAAAGTATATAATAGTTTTTTATATTCTTACAAATACAAAATATTAAGACATTTATTTTATGATTAAATAAAATAATCAATCAATCAAACAAATCATAAAATACCTAATTATAATTTATGTTTAAATAAATAGCAATGTTTTTATGAAAAGCATTATAATATTAAAATATACTGAAGTATGTTTAGTAATATTCTTGATTTACTTATTACATTTTAGCTAATTATTCTTCAAAAAAATTATCAAATTGAAATTTCTAATTTATCCAAATCACTAAATCTTATTAATTTATTAAGTTTATGAGATTTAAATAATTTTTAACACCTGTAAAATATGTTTTTATTTGACATATTGATTTTATTATTTTTAAATCTAAGGTTTCCAATTATGATTTATTTAAATTCCTTATTTTAACTTTTTAAAAATTAGAATTTTTTAAATTTATTCTTTTGTACTAATTGTATAGGTCAATAATTTAACAACCATCGAATTCAGTTAAAAGGCATTTTGTAATTATATTTGTTGAATTCTAGTCTAATTCGATTTTTATCAAAATAACTGAGATTCCCTTATGATTACAGTTATTATTATCATTAAATTCAATTATCATTTTTTGAAGCTTTTAAATATTATTAATAATAATCACTTTTTTTTCTCTTAAATAATTATTTTTCCTAATTTATAAGATGTATGAAGAAATCAATATTATTTTTAAGGTTATGCTAATAATATCATGTTTTTCAATTTAATCATTAGAATAGTAATGTACATACATTAATTAGGATAACAAAGAAAAAGTTTGAATAAGAATCTAATAGTAAATAAAAATTCTATCTAGCATAATTAAAATAGCTGAAACCATATTTACTTCCTTATATTTTTTGTAATCCTTATCTGATAATATATTTATCCCAAGTCCATACTTGAAAAAACTTAAGTAAATCAACAAATTCATTTTTAAGCTACCTGAAAAATGAGAAAAAAACCTTTAAAACTTATAGCCAATTAAAAAACCTGGAAAAAATATTATAATTCTTAGCTTTTCAAAATAGAGTTTTAAGAAAGAATTAATAAAAGATGGTAAACTTATATTTAAAAAGATAAGCAGCTAAAAAGAAGAAATTATTACATTTTTTATTGAAATCTTTTAGATTATTATGAAAAGTTAAGATTCGCCAATTATAAAATGTTAAGTAATATTACAAAGATAAATTAAAGTAATCCAAGGTAAAACTAAATGCAACTGATTTATTTATACAATATTTTGAAACACTAGAATCTAAAACACAGTAATTAAAAGAGCAAAAGTTTATCTCATAATCCATCCATTGTTGACATCTTAAGCATAATAGCTTTTAAACTTCTCAAATCTTAATAAAAAGTATAAGTCTTCCAATTAAATTAAAGAGAGAGCAAATATAAATAAAATTTCTAACTTGTTATTTTTTCTAAACAATATATAAATTATTATCAAGTGTGAAATTAAAAATATCAGATTTATTATTAGAGCAAACATCCCAGTTTCCTTGTACTTAAAAAAAATAATTTTAAAATTATAATTTTATTTTTTTAAATTACAATTTAGTTATTAAGAAACCATAGAAGCCAATTAGCTTGGTTTAGTTTCACAAATAAAAAATATGCGATTTTTATTTGTTTAGGAAGTCCTGACATTTTCGACTCTCTATCAATTTACAAATTAAAAGAAGTTCCACTTTAGTTTATTGTTTGCTAATTAATTAGTCTTATTTTTTGTTTTTTAAGATATTTGTTTTTAATTATTATTTTTTATTTTTAATTAATTATAAATTTCAGAGAGTTTTTTTGATATTTTAAGAAGAGCTTTTATTAAATTGTTATTATGCTTATTATAATTAAAATTTATGAAGTCATTCATAATATAGTGTATTAAATTTTTGTGGATGTGTAAACATATGAATTCCTAGATTTGCGATAAACAGATTAATTAAAACAACAATTTTAAATGATTTTTATATTTAAATTTGTAATTTCAGATATTAAATTTTAATTTTACTATAAATTTATATTTAAAATAATAATATTCCAAAATATTTAATAAGCATAAAATTTTCAGATTTTTTGAGAAAATTATAAAAAATTTTATTTTAAACATTTCAATAATTAGACAGACTTATATTTTATTCTTAAATATCAATTTTCTTATATATTTATTAAAAATTTAAATAATTTTTTTTATAAATATTTTACTTTATTTTTTTTGTTAATTTTTGTAATTTATAAAGAAACGTAAACATTTTTTTGGTTTATTTATTCATTCTGTTTTTACTTCTGACTTATAAAAATAAATAAATTTTAAAAAGAAATTTAAATTAATTAGAATGAGTGTTTACGATCTAATAATAAATGAAGGTTTTTAAAAATAACTTTGCTAAAATGATGTGTTCTCATTTAAAGAATAAAAATTTTTTAAGATACTATTTTAATTTCCTTCTTAATAGTTAAGCTAAGCTGCATAGGAATTCGCAGAAACAATTCCATAGTTTTCTGAAATAGAAGAGATTTTTTTAGAGGTAAATCCTTATTGCTTAATAGAAGAGCAGGTATATCTAAATATTGCTAATATATGCTCGCAAAGTATTACAAAATTAAAGAATATATAATTAATTTTTGGTGATTACTGTAAATTAAGCAATTTAAGTTTCATAATAGACCTAATATCACCTTTGAATCAATTTACTTTAAATATTGGAAAAATAAATAATTTAAATCATTTTAGTTACATGAATTTATAACAATTTTTAAGTCACTAAAAAGATCTTTAAAAATTACAAATTAAAATTGGAGTTGAAAATTAATTTGGAGATGAAAGCTTACAAAAATTTAGCTTAGCATTGTAATAGTTGAAATGTTTACAAGAGTTTTCATTTGATTTTGATTTTTGTATGATCACTTAAAAAGGAATTCAGGTATTTAGTGAAGCGCTGAAAACTTTAGTTTGCTTAAAAAAGTTTAACTTTTACAATTAAGGTAAATACTCTATGATTGAAGGATTTTCTTTTATCTTAGATTCTCTAAGTTATATGAAAGATCTTATTGATTTGAGAATAGTATTTTCATTTGAGACAATTATATTTCCAGTAGATGCTCAAATCATGGTTAAAAGTTTCAAAAACCTAAATTAATTAAAATATTTAGAATTAAAAGGATTTAATTTATTTTAACTTTAGTAAAATGATGAAATTGCTGATATATTAGCAAATAAAATTCTTTTAGAGACTCTTATCATATTCTTTCATAGAATACCTGAAGATAATTTAATTTACAACAAAATTTCTCAAAATTTATAATTCTTGTCAAATCTTAAAGATTTACAGTTATAAGTTTCAGATGTTAGCAGCAGACAAATTGATTTGGGTTTTGATTTTTTTTCAAATTCCTTGATCAAATTAAATAATTTAGAGTGTTTAAATTTGTAGATTTAATCTGGAAACTAGGTTGATTTATTGCAATTCAGTGCTTTGGGTGATGCATTGAAAACACTAATAAAATTAAAATAATTAGATCTATTTTTAGGAGATAGCAACAGTATGAATAAAGAACATTATTTAAGTTTATTTGAGGGATTTTCATAAATTGAAAATTTAAAGAGTTTAAAAATAAGAATGAAGACTTTAAAATAAAAACCAATTAAATTTAAAATAATAGGAAATGCTTTGGAAAAGCTAACAAAGTTATAAAATTTAAATATTGAAATTGAGACAAAAGCTATTTCGTACAAGTAAATATCAGATCTTAGCAAAGGATTAAAATAAATGAATGAATTAATTGAGCTTCGAATTAATTTAAAATCTTTCGATAACCTGTCAATTTAAGAAGAAGTTTTTAAATAAATTAAATATCTCAATAAAATTGAAATTTTAGAAATTTATCATCAGTGCCTAAAAAATGTTATTAGATAATATTAATTGATAAAAGACATTAATATGTGCACAGCAGTGAACTTGAAAAAGCTACAAATTCAACTAGATGTTGGTAATTTTTCTGATTTAGGATTTCAACTGAAGTAGTTTTTTGAATCAGCATAAAATTTAAAAATTGCAGACATAGAAATTATATTTAACATGGTTACTTAATATAGTACAAAATTCTAAAAATTTTTAGGCAGTTTTTAATTACCTAGCTCTATTGAAGATCTTCGTTTAAAATTTATTTTCAACAAGTAAATTATAAGTGACTAGTTAATGCTATTTTAGATTTTCTAAAACCTTAAAGACTTAAAAGAGTTAAAACTTGAGTTTTAAAATAAAATAACAAAAATGATCATTTTTGATTTAGAAAAATCTCTTTCTTATTGCAATTAAATTTTTAGTTTCAGTTTAAAACTAGGATTTTCTCTTTATTAAAGGGAAGGCTAAAGTTTTATCTCTATGATTAAGTAGCTATCTAATTTAAAAGAATTGGAACTAAATCTTCCTCATTTTACAGGATTTGAAAAAGATTTTATTTAATAATTTAAAGAGACTTTATCAAACTTAAAAAATTTGTATTGTTACAATGAAAATATTTAATTTCTTTAAAGAAAAAGAATAAATTAATATGATTATGTCTAAAATTTGTAAAATTTAGTTGAGTGTTAAATTTTACAAAATAAAGATCCAATTTACAAAAAAATCTAAATCAAACATAGAGTTTCCTAAAAACTTCCACTAAATCATTCAAGCTTTGCCATCAACTAAACATAAAATAAATCTTAATTCAGTATGAGTAGTTTTTCTATTTAATTTCATCCATTTATGACTCCTTTTTGCTACTTTGAGGTTTTAAAGAGCTTAAAAAATTTCATTTAACTAAAGGAGCTGTCTTTAAATTTTAAAGGAAATGTTTATTTAACAAAAACAGAAGTCAATGAGTTAAGAATAGGTTTATCACAACTCTCTCTACTCTAAAAATTAAGCTTGAATTTTAAAAGTAATTTTTATGATAATTTAAGGAAGAAAATCATTTATGCAATAGGAAAGGGCTTACAGTCAATATAAAATGTTGAGAGTTTAAGTTTAGATATTGTAAAAACGAAAGATTATTCTTACTGTAATTATTTTTAGGAACTGTTTAAAGGAATACTTAATTAAAAATAGCTATAAATGTTGCATTTGATGCTTGTAGGATGTAGTTAGAGTGAATTCTAAATTTTAAATTTTGAGAATCTTTTAGAAAGTAAAAACTAAATATAAAATCTAAAGCTAATAATTGATGGTGACTTTGATGAATAAAACTAAATAAAAATAGGAAAAGGAATTAGCTATTTATAAAATTTAAGGCATCTTTTTATGAAAATAAATAGCAATCTTGAAATTAGTATGGCAGGGGAGGAATCGATAGTCTAAGGAATATAAAATTTGAGTAATTTGTAATAATTAAATGTAGACATCAATACAAAGAAAAACAACTGCAATGTTATAAGTGATCAAAAAACTCTTTCAATTCTTAACAATAAAAAGTGTTTAAAAGAATGTGTTCTTTAATTTAGAAATTAAATAAATCTAGATATTAAATAAGATGATATTTATTTGATAAATAATATTCAAAATTTCAAGTTTAGTGTTGTACAAAATTAATATGACCAAATATAAAATGGCTACTAAGATTTCCTTATTGCTTTTATTAAAATTTAAAAAAAAGTAAACAAGTTAAGGATCTAATTGTCTTAAACTTAAAGCTATAGTGAATAATTTATTCTAAATCTGACTGGATAAGTGGGAAATAAATTAGATTTTGGTTTTAATATAGTAATTCAAAAATAAAACACACAAGATATTTTGTCTTTTTTGGAGAGATTGATTTAGATTGAAAAAATATCTCTAAATATATGTCAAAATTTGAGTTTTTAGCAAGTTATCTTTGAAAATAATTTTAGATACTTCAGTAATATTTAAGAATTAAGTGCTTCATTTTAGATAAATAATAAAAATTAATAATAACTTTTCTTAGATTTTTCCAAAGGAATAATTTATTTACAAAATATATAAAAATTAACAATTATGTATTTTTAATGCAATATCTCAAAAGAAAATTTAGATGTTCTTACACAGAGTTTGTGTTAACTAAAGCTCTTGCGCTACTTAAATCTTTAGTTTTACTTGCAAAGTGCACCTTTTAGTCAGTATCTTCTAAGTAATACAAAGTCTTTTTTCAAGCTATCTAAATTGAATTACCTTGTCTTAAAACACTCTGATTATGATTCACTTTAAGATAAAAAGCTCTAAATAAAAACTTTAAAAAGAAAATACTTAAGGTTAGTAAGTTTTTAACTTTTATAAGTATTGTTTCCTTACATGATTGAGTTATAAGACGAAATAATAAACTTAGCCTATCAAGAGTTTTGATATTTATGAAAATTAAAAAAATTGCTGACTAATTATTACATTTTTGCTAAATAATTAAATATTTTCTTATAAATATAAAATTGTATTAGATTTGATTTGATACACTCTCAAAAACTTAAACTTGAAAATAAAAATACATATAAACTATATATTTATTTTATATTTAAAAATGAATAAACAAACATTTTCATAATTTTTCACTAAAAATAATAAATGATTTTTAAAATAATTAAAGGAAAAATGTTCATTTAAATTATTTTATGATCAAGCTATTTCATTTCAAAGTGTTTGCTTGCAATAATGATGCACCATACAATAAGCGAAATTTAATGTTTTGATTTAGTTAAGATAATTTACAAGCTTAATTTTTGGAAAGCCAATTTTTTTAAAGAAAAAATTTTTTAATGTGGTCTTAATTAATTAGTTTAACAGTAAATATATAATAGATATAAATATTTTTTCTTAAATATTTAAGAAGTAATACAAAAATATTAAGCCTTTTATTTATTTATTTATTTATTTATTTATTTATTTATTTATTTATTAATCAATCAATCAAACAAATCATAAAATACCTAATTATAATTAATGTTTAAATAAATAGCAATGTTTCTATGAAAAGCAATATAATATTAAAATGTACTGAAGTATGTTTAGTAATATTCTTGATTCACTTATTCTATTCTAGCTAATTATGGTTTTAAAAAATTATCTTATTTAAATCTCTAATTTATCCAAATCACTAAATCTTATTAATTTATTAATTTTATGAGATTTAAATAGTTTTCAACACTTATAAATTCTGCTTTTATTTGACATACTGATTTTAATATTTTTAAATCTAAGATTTCCAACTATTATTGATCTAAACCCCTCATTTTAACTTTTTAAAAATTTGAATTTTTCAAATTCGTTCTTTTGTACTTTTTGTATATGTCAAATATTTAACAACCATCAAATTCACTTAAAAGGCATTTTGTTATTATATTTGTTGAATTCTAGTCTAATTCGATTTCTATAAAAATATTTGAGATTCCCTTAAGATTACAGTTATTATTATTAAATTCAATTATCATTTTTTGAAGCTTATTAATATTATCAATAGCAATCACTTTTCTTTCTCTTAAGTAACTATTTTTCCTAATTTATTAGATGTATGAAGTAATCAATATTATTTATAAAGTTATAATAATGATATCTTGTTTTTTAATTTAATCATTAGAGTAGTATTTTACATACACAAATTAGAATATCAAAGAAAAAATTTGAATAAGAGTCTAATAGTAAAAGAAAATTTTATCTAGAATAATCAAAATAGATGATATCACATTTAGTTTCTTATATTTTTTGAAATCCTCATCTGAAAATATGTTTATTCCATTTATGTACTTAAAAATACATAATAAAACGATTACTTGAAATTTTTTATTATCTATAAAAGTAAAAAACCTTTTAAACTTATAGCAAAATAATAAGAATGCAAAGAAAAGTATAATATTTAGCTTATCAATGTAGAGTTTTATCTCAGAATAAAAAAAAGATTCTTAACTTATATATTAAAAGATAAACAGCTAAAAACAAGAAATTATTAGTTTTTTTATGGAAATCTTTTAGATTATTATGGAAAGTTAAGATTCACCAATTATATAATATTAAGCAATATTACAAAGATAAATGCAAGTAATCTAAGGTAAAACTAAATGCAAAAGACTTATTTTTTCATAATCTTTACACAGTAACATCCAAAATACAGTAAATGAAAGAGCAAAAGTATATCTCATAATCCATCCATTGTTGACATCTTAAGTATAATAGTTTTTAAACTTCTCAAATCTTAATAAAAAGTATAAGTCTTCTAATTAAATTAATGAGAGAGCAAATATAAATAAAATCTCTAACTTGTTATTTTTTCTAAACAATTCATAAATTATCATCAAGTGTGAAGTTAAAAATATCAGATAATTTATTAAAGTTGTAATCAAAATTTCCTTGTACTTAAAAAAAATAATTTTAAAATTATAATTTTATTTTTATAAATTACAATTTAGTTATTAAGAAAGTATAGAAGCCAATTAGCTTGATTTAGCTTCACAAATAAAAAATATGCGATTTTTATTTGTTTAGGAATTCCTGACATTTTCGACTCTCTATCAATTTACAAATTTGAAGCAGATCCGCTTAGTTTATTGTTTGCTAATTAATTAGTATTTTTTTTGTTTTTTAAGATATTTGTTTTTAATTATTTTTTAAATATTTAATTAATTATTAATTTTAAGAGAGTTTTTTTGGTATTTTAAGAAAAGCTTTGATGAAATTGTTATAATATTTATTATAATTAAAATTTATGATGTCATTCACAATATAGTTGTATTAAATTCTTGTGGATGTGGAATAAGAATTGAATTCCTGTATTTTCGATCAAGCATATTAATTAAATAAACAATTTAGTATGATTTTTTTAATTTAAATTAGTAATTTCAGGTCAAAATACATACAGAAAAATTTTTACAAATTTTGAGAGTAAAAAAATTTCATTAAATGATTTTCAAAATTGATATTCGAAAAAATATTTTTACAACAATGATTTTCCTCTATATAAAATTTTAACAATATATACCTAATAGGGTGGTGGGATAATACTTTTTCATTTATATTATTCATGTTAATATATTTTTCTATCTTTAAAAATGTTAATAAAAGAATAATAGATTTATGTAGCTGAAATTAATATTTTATTTTCCCTGATAATTAATTAATTAATTAGTGCTTATTTGATTTTCAAGCTAGATTGTTTTTAATTTACTAAATTATTTCATCTAATCTCAGTAATAAGGTCTTAAAAAGTATTTAATATCATGGGTTTATTATATTAATTAGTCTTTAAAATTTGATCATAATCAAAAGCAGCTTAAAGCTTAATCATAAATAATAAATGGATTAACTAAAATTAGATTTTTCTTTAAATAATTCAAGGCTTTGTCCAGTTCACAAAAAAATATAAGTATATCTAAATGTTGACACTAAATAGTAGAACACTGACCCTATTTTCAAGTGTGTATCATGCGTGTCAAAAGAATTGCACTAACAAAAAAACTAAATTAAGGTAACTCCTCTAGATGATATTTTAAATGATGAAGAAATTTAATTGGATAACTGGCTGATTGATGTAGATTTTGGCAAATTTCATAAGCTGTTTATTCAAGAGCAATTAAACATCTAATAAGAATTGGATAAGTTTTTCAAAAACTTCAGATCTTCTATAATTAACAAGCTAGACATTTTTGAAGAAAGTGTGAGAAAGAGATACGAAGAATTAGAGTTCAATAAAACAAAGATTATCCAATATATTAAAGATAGCTCAATGAAAGAATAAGTTAGAAGTATTTTAAAATAAAGCTAAAATTTAGAGCAACAAACTAAATCTTATAAAGAACTGATAAAACATTTAGAAAAGAATGAAAAAGATATCTAAGATAATTACCATTAATTACAATAAAACTTTAATTTTTACGCTGAATATCTATGCATAGAAAATATATCTAAATTTCAAATATAATTAGAAAGCGTTCTAAATAATATATCTTAAATAGCAAACTACTAAATAGTTGATATGCTTAAAATTTAAGATCAAAAAGTACTTCCAATAGAAAATGATGAAGGATTTAATGATTAAATTTATCATGGACAAATTTCTAATGTGTGCTCATTGTATGAAATTAATTGCAATTAAATCACTTAATACGTAAAGCTAACCTTATAAGACTAATAACTAGTACATAATTATGACTTGTAAAAATACGAAAAAAAATATCTTACTTATCTTCTATTCCCAGATTAAATATTTTGATCTATTTTCGTATTATTTTGAATATATAATATAAGATTATTGAAAATAAAAAGAAAAAAATCACCCCTTTTATTGAAAGGAAAAATGGGGAAAGAAGCCAATTTTTTTAAAAAAAAAAATTTTTAAAAGTGGTCTTAATTAATAAGTATAAACAGTAAGTATATATATAATAGATATAAATATATTTTCTTAAATATTTAAGAACTAATACAAAAATATTAAGCCTTTTATTTATTTATTTACTTATTTATTTAATTATTTATCAATCAAACAAATCATAAAAAACCAAATGATAATTAATGTGTAAATAAATAGCAATATTTCTATGAAAAGCATTATAGTAAAAAAGCATACTGAAATATGTTTAGTAAAATTCTTTATTTACTTATTCCATTCTAGCTAATTATGGTTATAACAAATTATCAAATTGATATTTCTAATTTATCCAAATCACTAAATCTTACTAATTTATTAATTTTATGAGATTTAAATAGTTATTAACACTTATAACATTTGTTTTTATATGACATATTAATTTTAGTATTTTTAAATCTAAGGTTTCCAACTGTTATTGAGTTAAATCACTCATTTTAACTTATTAAAAATTTGAATTTTAAAAATTTGTTCTTTTATACTTTTTGTTTATGTCAATTATTTAGCAACCGTCAAATTCAGTAAAAAGGCATTTTGTTATTATATTTGTTGAATTTTAGTCTAATTCTATTTTTATCAAAATAATTGAGATTCCTTTAAAATTATAGTTATTATTATTATTAAATTCAATAATCATTTTTTGAAGCTTTTTAATATTATCAATAATAATCACTTTTCTTTCTCTTAAGTAACTATTTTTGCTAATTTGTAATATGTATGAAGAAATCAATATTATTTTTAAGATTATGCTAATGATATCTTCTTTTTCAATTTAATCATTAGAGTAATAATTTATATATATTAATTATAATACCAAAGAAAAAGCTTGAATAAAAGTCTAAAAGTAAATGAAAATTCTATCTAGCATAATTATGATAGCTGATATCACATATACTTTCTTATATTTTTAGTAATCCTTATCTGAAAATATGTTTATTCCATTTAAATACTTGATTTAACATAAGAAAATCAACAAATTCATTTTTGAGTTAGCTGAAAAATGAGAAAAAAACCTTTATAACTTACAGCCAATTAAAAAACCTGAAAAAAAAAATATAATTCTTAGCTTTTCAAAATAGAGTTTTATGTAAGTTTAAATAAAAGATGGTAAACTTATATTTTAAAAGATAAATAGCTAAAAAGCAGAAATTATTACATTTTTTATGGAAATCTTTTGGATTATTTTGAAAAGTTAAGATTCGCCAATTATATAATGTTAAGCAATATTACAAAGATAAATCAAAGTAATCTTAGGTAAAACTAAATGCAAAAGATTTATTTTTTGATTACTTTAAGACAGTAAAATCTAAAAAACAGTAATTGAAAGAGCAAAAGTATATCTCATAATCCATCCATTGTTGACATCTTAAGTATAATAGTTTTTAAATTTCTCAAATCTTAAATAAAGATATAAATCTTCTAATTAAATTAAAGAGAGAGCAAATATAAATAAAATTTCTAACTTGTTATTATTTCTAAATAATGTATAAATTATTATCAAGTGTGAAATTAAAAATATCATATTTATTATTAGATTAACCATCCCAGTTCCCTTGTACTTAAAAAAAATAATTTTAAAATATTAATTTTATTTTTTTAAATTACAATTTAGTTATTAAGAAAGTATAGAAGCCAATTAGCTTAGTTTAGTTTCACGAATAAAAAATATGCGATTTTTATTTGTTTAGGAAGTCCTGACATTTTCGACTCTCTATCAATATACAAATTTAAAGTATTTCCGCTTTAGTTTATTGTTTTGTTATTAATTAGTCTTATTTTTTGTTTTTTAAGATATTTGTTTTTAATTATTTTTTTGATATTTAATTAATTATAAATTTCAGAGAGTTTTTTTGATATTTTAAGAAGAGCTTTTATCAAATTGTTATTATATTTATTATTAGGGATAAACTTAATTAATAAAATTATTAATTTGATTTAATTAATATACTATAATTAAATAAATAAAATATAACTTTTTTCATTTAAAAAACTGTTATTTTTAATAAATGAAACTATTTAAAACCAAATAGCATATATATGTTTTTAGATATAAAAACTTGCAAAAATTTAAAAAATAAAATTAACAAAGTAAGTAAGTAACCTATGTAATATTAAAATAATAAAATTTTTTATTTTCTCAATTTTAATTTAATATCCAAATCTTAAAAAGAGAACGAATAAAATTTATGATTAATTTTTTTTTAGAATTTAATTATTATATTTTAATCAATAAATCATCTATTTATTAATTAATTAATCTATCCAATCAGGTTTGAGATAAATATTAGAAAAATATAATTTATAATTAAAAATTTAATGCATTTTATATTTAAATTAAATTACATTTTCAAAAAAAAAAATTTTTAAATAAAAAAGCTTTTCCAACATTCATGAAAATACAATAATTAAAAAAAATATAAATATATATAATCAATCACATTAAATAGCAATAAGAAGCTAATTCTATTATAGTAATACATATAAAATTTTGTATCTATCTATCATCTATCTATATCTCACCAATCAAATAAATCATAAAAAACTTAATGGTGATTTAAGGTTAAATAACTTGAGATACTTTTGCTAAAAGCTATATAATAATTAAATATATTGAAGTACAGTTAGTAATATTCTTCATTGACTTCTATTACTCGTACTAATTCTGGTTTCAAAAATCTATCATACCTAAATTCCTAATTAATCCAGATCACCAAACTTTATTTATTTATCAATCCAACTAATCTTAGAAAATTTTCTGGTGAGATATATTTAGTGCGTATTAGACTTATTTACTTTACGATATTCTTATTTAGTATTTACAATTATGTTTAATCTAATTAATAAGAGCTTTTGTTGAAAATGACTTCTTAGAAATCAGAATTTTTTAAATTTGTTCTTTCGAAAAAATTAAATAAGTCAATAATTTAGCATCCTTCAAATTCACATAAAAGGCAATTTGTTATTATATTTTTTGATTATTCATCTATTTTGATTTTTAACAAAATAGTTGAGATTCCTTCAAGTTTCTTATTATTAAATTGATTAATTTTTTTTTGAAGTTGGTTAATATCATCAACAATAAGAACTTTATTTTATCTTAAATAGGATTTTTATTAAATTAATTAAACAAATGAAGAGATTAATATCATTTTTAAGATAATTTTTACAATATCTTATTATTAAACTTTGCTGTCATATTCCATTTATATGTATATAAAATAAGATATCAAATTAATAATCTGATAAATGGTTTAAGAATAAATTAAGTATCTATCAAACAAGATTATGCAAGCAGATATCTTATCTACTTTCTTACTTTTTTTATAATTCTTTTCTAAAACAACACTTATCCCAGATATGAATTTTAGCAAATACAAAATTATCAAGCAATTCATGCTTCGCTTATTACTATCAGTATCGAAGAAATTTTAAAAGTTAATCATTTTAATTAGTAAAAAAACTATAATAATTGATAGAATTAAGAACATATCACTAATATTTTAGAAAATAACATTTTAAATACCACCAATTAAAGATGGTAATACTAAATAGAAAAAGCAAAACATTTGAAATGATGATAAGATCAAATTTTTTAACTAAATCTATTCTATAATTTTGTAGAGTTAAGATTCACCTAGTAATAAATAATATTAGTAGATGTAACAAAGAATAACTAAAGAAATCCTAGGTAAAACTAAATAAAAGCAGCTAGTTTAATAATTTGCTTATAAAATTAAAATCTAAAATGTAATAATTGAAAGTGCAAAGATGTATCTTATAATCCATCCTTTGTTATCATCTTTAATGTAATATTTTTTAAATTTATCAAATCTTATTAAAAAGTATAAGTCCTCTATTTAAAGCAATGAGAGAATAGCAACGAATAGAATCTCTAATCTTTTTTAATTCCTATGCAATTTAAAAATAGCTATGAAGTGAGATAATAAAAATACCAAATTAATCTTAAGAGGAAAGGTGCCAGTTTCTTTATACTTTTAATAAAAAATTTATTTTAAAATAAATAAGTGTTAAATTTTTTAATACAATTTAGTTATTAAAAAAGTAAAAGAGCCAATTCATTTGGTTCAGTTTGACAAATAGAATAAATGCTATTTTAATATATTGAGGAGACTTTGACATTTTTGATTCTATCAAGTTATTTTTAATTTATTTGTTTTTTGAGAAATCTGATTTTAAATATTTTTGAGATATTTAATTTATTATTAATTTATAGAGAAGATAATAATATTTCAAAAATCTGAGGTGTTTCTTCTTGAAAAGTTAATTAATTGTTTATTTGCTTTTGTATAAAAATAGAACCTTAATAATTATTAATATTCTCTATTCAAAGGAAAAATCATAATTGAAATAAAAACCAAACCAATTTAATTTATTTTTAATATAATTTCTTGTTTACTGATTGATATTGTATAAAACAGTTTACTATTTTAATTTTATTCACTCAATTTAAAAGTAATTTTATTTATAAAATATTTTATTCATGAAAGTAAAAGTAATATGTGCTATTTATGTTTTAATTTTTATTATATTTTATCCAAATTTATTTTATACAAGCAATAACTTTTAGATTACTTCAATTATTATTTAGAATTTAGATGATGATAATAATAATAAATTTCCTTTAATCAATTATTAGTTTTTAAATAAATTAAAGTTATCATTTTAAAAAAATTGGTCAATTAAGTTTCCAACAAAAAAATTAATCTAAATAAAAAACTCAATTTATAAATTAGATTAAATTTAGTATCAAATGATTAACAGTC